ACCCTCATCTGCCTACTGCTGTTTGGGTTGGCAGTGTCGTGTTGTGGGTTTGGTGTTCCCTTTGCCCAGACACAAGGTAGTCGGGGACACATTGGTGTGCTCTAGGGTAGCCCAGGGGTAGGTCTGTGTTTTGTTTCTGCCTGGGGCTGTTTGGGTCATGTTTGCACAGCCACACTCGTCTTAAGTGTAATGTGGAAGGGTGGCATTAACAGAGGGGATGGTGACTCTCACCGCTGACATCTGGCAGCAGCACTGGTGCTTTCCCAAATGGTCCAAGTCATTAGAGCCAGCCAAGGCCACACTGTGCTCTCAGTGTGTCACCGAGCTGGTGGTGCTGCCAAACCCCAGCAGGCCTGTGCTTCCTGGTCCTGTCATCCTCCTTCCCCCATGAGGATGAGGGGAAGTAGTGGCTTATGGTGGGAAAATCCACAGGCCAATTGCCTCCAACCCGGTCATGACCCAATCCAGGAAGAGCCACTGCTGCCAGTGGCAGGGACTAGTGGCTCCCTTCCTCCCCACATGGGCTCAGCCACACTCCTGCAGCATCTCACAGCCCCAGAGTGCATCCCTGCATGCTCCCCACGACTGCCACATCCACACTAGGGCAGGAGCTGCTGGGATTTGACACCATGGGGATGCTCCAGGGCTGCTCTGCACTTAACCTGTGCTGCTTTCCCCTCTTCCCTTGTGTCCCTGTGCACAAAACCCCAGTGAGCTGCTCTCAACAGCCACAAGCTGTCCCAGCCCTTGGGAGCTGGATTTAAATCTTAGGATCCCCTTGGAAAAATTGATCTTTTACTGTTTCAGCCAGTTTTCCAACCCCTGTTTCCTTCCACGGGCACTTAGAGCGATGCTTCCCACTGGAGCAGATGGCAGTGGGGTTTGTATCCAGCGTGATGTGCTGCTCCCTCTCACCACCCTCTCCAATCTCTTCCAGGAAGCGCCAGCTCTCACCTCAGTCCAAGAGCTCCAGCAAAGTCACAAGTGTACCGGGAAAAGCCTCGGAGCCAGGCCCCACGGGTGCCAAAGCGGGCAAATCCAGCACCCTGTCCCGACGGGAAGAGCTCCTCAAGCAGCTCAAGGCAGTGGAAGACGCCATCGCTCGCAAGCGGGCCAAAATCCCAGGGAAAGTATAGTGGGAAGAGCCCTGGTGACTGTTGATCTTTTTATAATGAGTGTCAAAGCAGCCACGTTGGGATTTTGCAGTTCTGTCTTATTTTGGCTGCGATTCTTTTTAGGGAAAAAAAACCAACCAAACCCACACAAAAAAAGAAACCCCAAAACCATGAAAACCAGATTGAAGTTTTGTCGACCGAGAGACACCTGCTCCAGGAGATGCCCCATGTAAATTATGCACAGAGGACTCCAGCCTCCCCCCACGTTGGATGCTCTCACTGTTTCCTCTGATTCTCTCTGCCCTCTCTCCTCTCTGCTAGCCTTGAGTTGTATTCTCCTAGTTAGCCCTGCTGTGTGTTGAGTGTCTTCAGCAATGCAGTTCTATATACTGTGTAATGAGAGAGCTGAAAACTGCTGTGAACTGCTGGCAACATCACCTTCTCCCCTGCCCTTCCCCTCCAGGAACAAAAGTATATATATATTCTTGACTAAAGTCTCATTGGGAAAACGACCTGTCTTATTTTGAGCAGCAGAATGTCTTAGTTGATTCAGGAGAAGCCCTGAAAGTTTGGGGGCATGTCTGTCTAACAGAGAGGGTCCTTTTCCTCTTGGATTTTTATTTTCTTCCCCCCCCCTTTTTTTTTTTTTTTTTTTTTTGGAGGGATTTCCGTGAAATAAAGTATTTTGATAACCAGTTCTTCTTTTTCTTGTTCTCTGTCCTCCCACTCACTCCTTTGCCTTGGGGGATGTGTTCCCCCCCCCAAACTTCGAGGTATGTAGTTTGTCATGATGTCCCTATGGTTGCATTGATTCTGCTGCCACCACAAGCAGCCCCATGGAGCTGGAATTGCTGCCATGTTGCTTAGGGGGAGCCATGTGTCCTTTTGATGCAGGTGACATGTACCCTGGACCCCCTGGGTCCTCTGCCCCTTCACCCAGTATGGAACCACTGTCCCACTGGTATTAGATGGTGATGGGGGGCCTCTCGCTGGGCTGGGCTGGGCTTCACTTGGTGAAATTTGGGGGTGCTTCTGGGTTTATCCAGCTGTTTTGGGGATATCCCCTGTGTGCTGTGATGGGAGGTTCTGCCCTTGCTCCCAGTATGGAGCCAGTACCCACTGGTATTGGATGGTAGGAGTGTAATAAACCCCTCTGCAGGCTGGGCTTCACATGGTGTAATCTGGGCATGCCTCTGGGTTTATCCAGCCCTTTGTGGGTCCCCAGCTGTGTGCCTTGTGCTGTCTGCTTGGGCAATGTGGCACCTTAAAGGTAACTGCTGAAATGGGTGCAAATCCCATGCTTTTGGTAAAAAAGCAAAGGGTGGCTGTGCCTGGTCCTGTAAACCTTTCACAGATGCTTCCCAGTACTGTTTTTCGCACTGTACTGGGAGTACTGGGCTCCTATAGGGATAAAGCCTGAGCCCTGACCACCAGTCCTTTCCCTGGTGGACCTAGTTCAGCAGGAGGTTGCTTATGGAACAACCCAGGGGAAACAACCCTGTGCTCATCCCTGGGCCAGCTCCCACTGCATCCTCCCCTTTCTTCTCAGCACCATCATCCTGGCATCAAGCAGGATGATGGTGCTGGACCGGGCAGCATCAGAGGGGGCAATCAAAGCCACTGCCCTTTCCAGTGTTGCCCAATTTGGGACTTCTACTCTGGGGATGTGATGGTGATATCACTGTGGCTCTTACGCAATGGGGCCATGGCCTGGGGCACAGGGATCATGTCCCTATGGGTCACGGGAGGGATGGGGGGGGGGGCTGGTGGATGGGTACCGCTGCAGCGGGCACAGGATGCCCTGGGTACCCATCCACCAGCCCCCCTGCAACGCATACCATGCATTCCCACATCACTCCATACCCATTATAGGTAGCCAAACCAGTCAGCACCCCTTTCCCTACACGTCTATACATGCCTTATCACACACACACACCCCCCCCCCTCCATTCCCATCCATCCTCCAACCAATTTTAGGGATGCTGGGACTCCATTTCCGGGCTGGAACACGCGGGATTGAGAAGGAAGTATGACAGCCTGCGGGGAGGAGGAAGGAGCTCCGGAGCTGGAGTTTCCAGGTGTGTGTACATCACCTGCCCCAGCCCTATATAAAGGAGGCAGCAGCGGAGGTGCTGCCACTCGGCCGCCTGCATCCCAAGGGTTCGGAAGGGATTCCCCCCCTACAGCATCCATCACCGTGTCCCTGTGCCCTCCTCATGGTAAAATTGGGAACGGAGTGGGGTTAAAGTGGGGGGAATGTGGGGCTGGGAGCGTGTCTGGACACGTGTGTGTATTGCAGGGGGTGAGAACACGTGTGTGTGTGTGTGTGTGTGTGTTAAGGGATCTGTGGTTTGTTGCATGTGTGAATACACACGTGAAGTGTGTGCCTGGACATTGGCTGGTGGCTGCTGCTTTTAGACATGTGTGTATGTGTATGCAGGGGGAATATAGTGCTCTGTATGTAAGGTGTGCACAGCCCCGGGCACATATACAGTATATATACAGTGATAAATGTACGTGGTTCTGACCAGCGTTGGTATGTAGGATGCACAGTGCCTCTATATGTATAGGGGCAGCCCAGCACAGGGTGCTCACAGCTCCAGGCACATACACTAGTGATAAACACATGTGGTTCTGACCCATGCGTGCGTCTATGCACGCTTAGAACTGTAATGCAGCTGTGTGCAGATGTGCTGGTAACACGTGTTTGCACGTATGCATCCGTGTACATATGATGGTGATAAATGCATGTGTTTCTGACTGGGTTGTATGTGCGCTTGGGAGGGTAATTCAGTTGTATGTAAGCGTGCTGGTTTGCACATATGTGTATTTGCATGTATGCATGTGTGCTGTTACCGCTGAGTGGGTACATGGGTGGAAGGAGCCTGTTAGGGAAGCACAGCTCTTTGGCGTTAGGAAACCTTTCCTTGAGGAAGCTGTGACCTGAGCTGGGTTTTCTGATGCGAGTGAAGGAGATGAGGTTTCCATCGCCCAGATGTGCTGCAGGAGGGCACAGCCTGAGGCCTGTGCTCCTCCAGCCCAATGGCTTCTGCTTACAAAGGACCTTTTGGTGACAGAGCACACAGGCTGAGACCACTGCATGTGTGTACACACATCTGTATGTGCATGGAAGGGTAGCACGGGGCATGTATGTGTATGCATGTGCTTGTATATCCTGTGTGAAGACATGCATATGGGTACTAATGTATGTTTTACACGTGTTCTGAAATCTTTGTGTGTGTGCTGACACTGTGTGTGTAACTACACGTGTGCTGGCACTCTGTGTGTTTGTATACACAGGGTGTTCTGTGTGTGTGTATGTAAATGTATATGTGTGTGTGTGTATGTGTACACGCATATATAGGTCTGGAGCAGCTCTGCTCTGGGGCCAGGCTGAGAGAGCTGGGCTGGGTCAGCCTGGAGAAGAGAAGGCTCCTGAAGGGGAGACCTGAGAGCAGCTCCAGTGCCTAAAGGGGCTGCAGGAAAGCTGGAGAGAGGCTTGGGACAAGGGATGTAGGGACAGGCCAAGGGGAATGGCTTTAACCTGCCAGAGGGGAGTCTGAGCTGAGCTCTTAGGCAGAAGCTCTTCCCTGTGAGGGTGCTGAGGCGCTGGCACAGGGTGCCCAGAGAAGCTGTGGCTGCCCCATCCCTGGCAGTGTTCAAGGCCAGGTTGGACATGGTTGGAGCAAGCTGCTCTAGTGGAAGGGGTCCCTGCACATGGCAGGGGCTGGAGCTGGGTGAGCTTTAGGATCCCTTCCCACCCAACCAGGCTGCGTTGCCACGGTTCCACATACAGCTGTGTGTACTTGCATACACACATGTGAGCTGCTCCTTGGCAGTGCGGGTGTACACACATGTCCAGGTACCCTGTGTGTGCACACCCCCATGTGCTGGCACTGCGTGCACGTGTGTGCAGGCACACGCGTGCTGATGCTCTGCACATCCAAACCCATGGCACTGGGGCCCTGGCAGGGGCTGGGTGGGGGGGGAGGCTGTGGGTCTCATCTCCGTGCTGCATCCCCAATGGGGGCAGTGGGTGGGTGACGGGTGTCCCGCACACACAGGGTCCCCGCACTGACCCATTCTCTCCCGCAGGGCTGGCTCGCTGCCCTGGCCCTGCTGTGGACCCTGGTGCTGTGCCGCGGCCTGCGCCGCCCCGTGCCCCATCCGCATGTGCCGTGCTACAGCGCCGGTGACCTGCGCGACGGCGAAGCCCCCGCTCCGCTGCTGGCCCGCAGCCTGCGCTGGGACCACTACGTCCCGGTGCAGTTGGTACCGCAGCTCGAGCGCCTGCAGGACAGCCCCGGCCACCGGCGGCACCGCCGGCACGGGGAGCACGCCTGCCCCGCGCTGCAGCTGCGCACCGGGCTGCACAGCGAGCCCCACGAGCGCTCCATCTCCCCGTGGAGATACCGGTGAGTGAACCCCCACATTGCGCTGTGCCTCGGGTTCCTGAGCATCCCTCCAACACCAGCATCGGCTTCCTCCAGCATCCCTTGAACATCAGCATCAGGTTCCCCAAGTATCCCTTAAACATCAGCATCAGGTTCCCTGGGCATCTCTTGAGCACCAGCATCAGCTTCCCCAGGCATCCCTTGGATCATCAGCATCAGGTTCCCCGAGCATCCCTTAAACATCAGGTTCCCCAAGCATCCCTTGAACACCAGCATCAGTTTCCCCAAGCATCCCTTGGATCATCAGCATCAGGTTCCCCAAGCATCCCTTAAACATCAGGTTCCCCAAGCATCCCTTGCACACCAGCATCACTTTCCCCAAGCATCCCTTGGATCATCAGCATCAGGTTCCCCGAGCATCCCTTAAACATCAGGTTCCCCAAGCATCCCTTGAACACCAGCATCAGGTTCCCCGAGCATCCCTTAAACATCAGGTTCCCCAAGCATCCCTTGCACACCAGCATCACTTTCCCCAAGCATCCCTTGGATCATCAGCATCAGGTTCCCCGAGCATCCCTTAAACATCATCTTCCCCAAGCATCCCTTGGATCATCAGCATCAGCTTCCCCGAGCATCCCTTAAACATCAGGTTCCCCAAGCATCCCTTGAACACCAGCATCACTTTCCCTCGAGCGTGCCTCACCTACCCCTGGTCAAAGGGGATAACTTGGGGTGCACAGGGCCTCACTGATGATTCCACCCATTCCCCCCCCCTACAGCATCGATGAGGACGAGGACCGGTACCCGCGCAAGCTGGCCTTCGCTGAGTGCCTCTGCAGTGGCTGCGTGGACGTCAAGACGGGCCGGGAGACGACGTCGCTCAACTCGGTGCCCATCCACCAGACCATGATGGTGCTGCGGCGCAAGCCCTGCCCGCGTCCCGCCGGCCCCGGCCTGGTCACCTTCGAGGTGGACTACATCAGGGTGCCTGTGGGCTGTACATGTGTCCTGCCCCGCACCGGGCGCTGAGCATCGCCACCCCCAAGCTCCCGTGGAGCCCCATAGCGTGACCGTGTCACCGCATCCACCCTGACCCGTGCTTGTTTTAGAGCACCCCCTCAACCCCTCACCCTGTTATTTATGTTATTTATGAGCCTTATCGCTGGGGATCTTCTTTTAACCTGTTATTTATTGCTGATGCTCCCACCAAGGCTGCAACTCCAGGGCCAGCATCACCCGACGGTGCCCATGGCCCTGCAGCCGGACCCTGCGAGTGCTGCACGGAGGCTCGCTGGTTATTTATTCCCCCCGCAAAAAATCCTATTTATTGTCTCCTCTGTGTGTGCTATTTAATACTGGCAGCCTGCAAATAAAGGCCGACACTCTCAGTATGCTCCCTGCTCCGTTCTCATCTATGGGGGGCACATTCACGGGGTGATGCTCGGCATCTCCCAGCCCCAGTGTGGTGGGTAATGCCCCAGCGCACCCATTGCACAGGGGGGGATGCAGGGGAGCCCCATCCCCGGGGGGGGGGGGACGGACGGGGTCCAGCCCTGTGCCCGCAGCACCACCCACAGCTTTCCCACGGCACCACGGGCCCAGCACCCCCTGCTGGGGACACCCCGTACCCGCAGCACCCCCGTTGTGGGGTGAACCCATCACCCCTCGTCCTATCCCTGTCCCTAATGAAGAGTCCCTCCCCAGCATCCCTATAGCCCCCTTCAGACACTGGAAGCTGCTCTGAGGTCTCCACGCAGCTTCTCTTTTCCAGGTTGAACAGCCCCAGTGTTCTCAGCCTGTCCCCATACAGGAGGTGCTGCAGCCCCTGAGCATCCTCCTGGCCTCCTCTGCCCTTGCTCCAGCAGCTCCATGTTCCTTACGCTGAGGACACCAGAACTGCACACAGTGCTGCAATTGGGGTCTCACAGAGCAGAGCAGAAGGGCAGGATCCCCTCCATGACCTGCTGCTCCAGCACACACTGACGGGGCACGTTCAGTCTCAGCATCGATCCCCCATCGCACCCTCATCGCCACTGACTGGGGCAGGGAGGGAAATGACCGCTGCCAGTGGGGTCACCCCAGGCTTTGGGGGCTCCTCTGGGGTGCAGGCCCATGTCTGACCGTTCACATCCACCACACCACTGGGTCCATTTATGGTGGTACAGGACTATGTGTGTGCCCCCATGTCCCCTGTCGCTCTACCCAGGAGGGATCACACTGCACCGTGTTTGCCCGTAACTACATTGTTTGTCCTCAAACTCCACTCAACGGTCCTAACCTACCCCCAAATCCATCCCCATCTGTGACAGCCCCTCCGGAGCGGGAAGCAGGAGCATCCGGCGTCTTTCCCAACCTTTATTGCAACTGCACAAGTGACAAAAAGCAGCGAGAGCCGGTGTGGAGCGGAGCTGCTGATCCCCATCATGGGGAGATGGGGATCTCCTGGGGAGCTGGTGTTCCACAGGGATCTGGGGATCCCGGAGAAATGGGGGCTGCTTGGAGAGCTGGACCCCTCAGGGAGCTGAGCATCACTGGGGATTTGGGGATACTGGGGAGCCCAGGGGGAACTGATGATCCCCAGGGATTTGGGGACCTGGGGAGTCTATGGGACCTGGAGATCCCTCATGGAGCTGAGCATCCCTGTGGATCTGGGGATCCCCAAGAAATGGGGAGCCCCTGGAAGCTGGAGATGCCTCATTGAACTGAGCATCCCTGGAGATTTGGGGATCCACAGGAGATGGCCAGCCCCTGGGATCTGGAGACCCCACATGGACCTGAGCATCCCTGGGGATTTGGGGAGCCTGTGGAAGCTCGAGATGCCTCATTGAACTGAGCATCTCTTGGAATTTGAGGATCTACAGGAGATGGGAGCCCCTGAGAGCTAGAAACCCCATAGGAGCTGAGCATCCCTGTGGATCTGAGGACTCCCCAGGAATCCCAGGGAGAACTGATGATCCTCACGGATTTGGGGATCCCAAGGAGCCGTGGACCCCCAGGAACCGAGCATCCCTTGGGATTTGAGGATGCACAGGAGATGGGAGCCCCTGGCACCTGGAGACCCCCCCAGGACCCGAGCATCCCTGTGGATTTGAAGATCCCCGTGAGCTGAGCACCCCATTCCCCCCCCAGCAGCTGCAGTACACTGGGAAGCAGGAGCACGAGCAGCAGCAGCAGCAGCAGCATCAGGAGGGGGTCCCCATCCATCACTCAGCCTCCACGGGGATGGGGTTCACCTGACCCCCCCCCTCCGCCAGCTGCTTCCTGCGGGCGTCTTGGGGGGGCCGTGGCGGGGGGTTGTTGGGGGGCTGCTTGATGGTGCTCCACACGTGCGGCCGCTCCCGGGGCTGCTGCTCAATGGGGCTCCACTCCTCCCCACGCACCGCGGCCTGCGAGGACGGAGGTGGGGGACACGTTGGGAATGAGGCTCCTTCAATGGGACCCCCCCCCTCCCCATAAACCTGCCCCCCCCGTCCCCTCTGCACTCACCAGCAGGTAGATGGCACTGGCGATGCCCAAGCAGACGGTGCCCAGAATGGTGGAGAGGAGGAAGCCGGCGGGGACGGCCAGGCTGTGTGTGGACATTGGATGGGTTGGAAGGGGCTGATCGGGGGCTGCACCCCGATCCCGACCCCATACCCCACTTACGCGGCGTGCAGGACGGCTCGGATGTAGTAGTTCCTTGTGAGGGGTCCAAAGAGCTTCACCACCGCTGTCAGGTACCTCTGGCCACTGCAGAGACACAACGGGGGGTCAGAACTCAGGGGTTACCCAAAGGACCCCCATTCCATGCTGTCTGTCCATGGGATACCCCAAGGATCCCATCCATGGGATACAGCCCTGTTCCCATCCCATCGCTCCCAATCCTGGTGCCATGACCCTGCGTCTGGGGGGTACCAGGACCCCCAAACCACAGGGATATGGGGGGGACACCCCACTTACCACCTCTCCATGGTGGAGCCCTTCTTTCTCTTGCTCCTTGGGTACTCAAGCAGGCAGACCAGGACACCTGCAGCGCTGGGGGGGGGGTCAAGGAAAGGGATGCTCGGGGGCAGGATGAGTCCATAGGCACAATCCCAAAGGAAAACAGGGCAGGGAAAGAAGGACTTGGGCCCCTGTTGGGCAGGGGGTGGTGTCTCCTGCTGTCCATGCTGATCGGGGCAGGGAATTCCCACTCCCGGGCATCCTCTCCATAAGGATACATGGCGTACGCCGCAAAGTACCAGCCCTTGAACTGCCCCGCCACGGCCACGATCCCACCCGTCAGCATGACTGTGGGGCAGAGTGGGGATGGTGGGTCCCTGCTGGGGACATGGCATCCCAACTGGGATACAGCACCCCCAACCCAGGACACGGCATCCCAACTGGGATACAGCATCTCAACATGGGACACAGCACCCCCAACCTGGGACACAGCATCCCAACGGGGATACAGCATCTCAACATGGGACACAGAACCCCCAACCTCGGACACAGCATCCCAACTGGGATACGGAATCCCAACTCAGAATAAGGGAACCCAACCCAGGATACAGCACCCCAACCCAGAATATAGCACCCCAAACAAGGATACAGCATCCCAACATGGAATACAGCACCCCCAACCCGGGATACAGCACCCCAATCCCGGATATGGCATTCCAACCTGGGATACAGCTCCCCCAACCCGGGATACAGCATCCCAATCTGGGACATGGTACCCCAATCCAGGATATGGCATCTCAACCTGGGATACAGCTCCCCCAACCCAGGATACAGCTCCCCCAACCCAGGATACAGCATCCCAATCTGGGACATGGTACCCCAATCCCGGATATGGCATTCCAACCTGGGATACAGCACCCCCAACCCAGGATACAGCATCCCAATCTGGGACATGGTACCCCAATCCAGGATATGGCATCTCAACCTGGGATACAGCACCCCCAACCCGGGATACAGCATCCCAATCTGGGACACGGTACCCCAATCCAGGATATGGCATCCCAACCTGGGATACAGCTCCCCCAACCCGGGATACAGCACCCCCAACCTGGGATACAGCACCCCAATCCAGGATATGGCATCCCAACCTGGGATACAGCCCCCCCAATGTGGGATACAACCCCCTACCCCAGGATGCAACCCGTCAATCTGGAACACTGCCTGCAACCAGGAATACGGCTTCCCAAACCCAGGATGCAGCCCCCTCACACCGGGACGTGCCCCCCACAATCCAGGACTGCGGTGCCTGTACCCCAGCATGCAGGGAGCCCCTGGATTGAAGAGAAGGGAACCGGGGGGGCCCAGTATGGGGCTGATCACAGGGGAAGGCTGTGTTAACCAACCCCCCCCCACCGAGCCTTGCCCTGTGCGGGAAGGAAGCATCGGGGGAGAAGGAGGAGGAGGAGGGAGCGGAGAGGGACGAGGAGGAAGAGGAGGCTCCCGTCCTGCGCAATCCCAACGGGACCGCACTTCGCGGCCGGCCCCGCCGCCTCCCTCTTGCGCCATCCCGGAAACCCCCGGAGCTCCTCGACCCCTGCATCCCCAAACCCTGATCCTGCCCCCAAAAAACACTGCACTCCCCAAACCCTGCACTCACAATGATCCTGCATCCCCAAAACCCTGCACCCAAAACCCCCAAACCCCGCAACCCCAAAACCTGCACCCCCAAATTCTGCACCCCCAAAACCCTACACCCACACCCACCAAAACATGCACCTCCAAACCATGCACCCCAAAATTCTGCACCCCCAAACCCTGCACCAACGAAACCCTGCACCCACACACCCCAAACACTGCACCCCCCAAACCCTACACTCACAATGATCCTGCATCCCCAAAACCCTGCACCCAAAACCCCTGCACGCCCAAACCCTGCATCCCCAAACCCTGCATCCTCAAACCCTGCACCCTCCAAACCCTGCACCCACTAAACCCTGCACCCACAACTCCCAAACCCCACAACCCCAAACCATGCACACCCAAACCCTGCACCCCCAAATTCTGCACCCACAAACCCTGCACCCACAAATCCTGAACCTGCACCCCCCAAACCCTACACTCACAATGATCCTGCATCCCCCAAACCCTGCACCCCCAAACACCACGCCTGAACCCCCAGACCCTAACCCTGCACCCACAAACCCTGCACCCCCAAGCCGTGCGCCTGCACCAAAAGCCCCTGCACCCCCAGCCCCTACCCCTGACCCCCCGTTCCTCTGCACCCCAATCCCTGCACTGCCCAAACCCTGCACCCTCAAATACCACCCCGGAACCCCCAGACCCTAACCCTGCATCCCCATACCTCTGTACCCCCAAACCCTGCACCCAAGCGCCGCCCCTGGACCAAAAGCCCCTGCACCCCCAGACCCTAGCCCTGACCCCCCATTCCTCTGCACCCCCCAAACCCTGCACCCCCAGACCCTGCATCCCCCCAAACCCTACCCCTGACCCCTCACTGCTCTGCACCCCCACCCCTCTGCACCCATAGACGCTGCACCCCACAAACCCTGCCCCTGCATCCCAGCCCCTCTGCACCCCAAACCGTGTCCCTACACCCCTAAACCCTACATCCCAACCCCTCTGCACCCCCAAACTCTGCACCCCCATCCCCTGCTCCCCCCCCCCCCGGCACTCACTGAGCCCCGCCGCCAGTGCCTGCTCGTTGGCCCACATGGCCCACTCGATCTGCCCCATGGCTCCCCCGAGCCCCTTCGGCTGCGCTCGGCCCGCTTCGGGTCCCCCCCGATTCGCTTCGGCTCGGTTCGGCGCGGCCCGACCAGGAAGGCTGATGCGCAACCAGCGCCCGCCACGCCTCTTCCCGGAAGCCACGCCCCCCCCGTAGGCCACGCCCCCATAGAGACCCGCTCCAGCCCCCTACCCAAGGGTCACACCGGGACACAGGGGTCGTGCACGGGACATGTGGGGCGACGAGGGTGGTGAAGGGGGGTTCCGGTCCAAGGGGACAGGCTCAGCCCTATGAGGGTCACTGGGGGGAACAGGGGCCATGTGGGGTGACAAGGGTGATGCTGAGGGCCAGGATCAGCCCCAGTAGGGACATCTGAGAGACAGGATCAGCCCTGCAAGGGGCACAGGAGGACAGCGTCAGTCCTAGCAGGGACAGCGGGGGGAGAAAGGGAACAGAAACAGCCCCACAATGGACACGGGGTGGACAGGCTTCCATAGCAGCCTTACAGTGTCTGAAGGGGGCTACAAGGATGCTGGAGAGGGACTCTTCATCAGGGACTGTAGTGACAGGACAAGGGGGAATGGGTACAGACTTAAACAGAAGTTTAGATTGGATATAAGGAGGAAGTTCTTTACTGTGAGGGTGGTGAGGCACTGGAATGGGTTGCCCAGGGAAGTCGTGAATGCTCCGTCCTTGGCGGTGTTCAAGGCCAGGTTGGACAGAGCCTTGGGTGCCATGGTTTAGTGTGAGGTGTCCCTGCCCATGGCAGGGCGGTTGGAACTGGATATTCCAACTCTAACTGTTCTATGACTCTATGACAGGGGAAGCACAGGGGCCATGTGGGGTGACAGAGGTTGCGCAGGGAAGACAGGATCAGCCCCAGCCTGGCAGGCAGAGCCATGAGGATGACCCAGCCCTGTCTCCTGTCCCCCACCCCAGCATCACCTGTGGAGCCTGGGCACCCCAGAACAGCACTGCAGAAGCTCTATATCCTTACAAAAGAGTAAGAACCAGGCCTGGGGTCACAACCTGCCCAGGGCTGGGGACAGCTTCGCACCAGGGTGGCACCGGCAGAGCCCCCTGGCACATCAGTTGTCCCTGGCGGTGTCACCGGGCTCAGGCTGTCCGGCGGGGCAGCCCATCTGCTCCCAGGAGGTGCTGGCTGGGGTCATCCAGGAACTGGGGTCCGGGGCCAGGCTGTGGGGCAGGAGATGGGTTACGGGCAGCAGGGAGCTCCGCTGCCTGCAGGGCAGCCCTTTGGGGCTGGGGGACAGCTCTGGGCCCCACAGACTTCAAAAGGGCACCCCAATGGGTCATGCTCATGGGAACATGTCTAAGGATGGGGGACAGGGATAGGGTCCCACACACAACCCTCAGGATGGGGACAGGGATGGGAATGGGGTTCTCTGTACCCCTGGGGATGGGGATAGCAGCTCATGCACAACCTTGCGGATGGGGACAAGCTCTCACAGCCCCTCACCAGGATGGGAAGGGGAACAGGGTCCTGTGCACTCTTGGGAACAGGGGTGGGATTCCGCACACAACTCTGGGGATGGGATAGGGTCCTGTACACCCTGGAGGACAGGGATGTGGTCATGTGCACCCCTGGAGACAGGGTCCTGCAGACACCCTTGTGGATGGGGACAGAGATGGGGTCTCACATAACCCCATGGAGATAGGGACAGAGTCCTGTACACCCCTGGTGACATGGATGGGGTCACACATACGCCCCTGGGGATGTGAACGGGGTCCTGTGGACTCTTCAGGACAGGGATGGTGTCATGTGCATCCCTGGAGACAAGAGTCTTGCAGAGCTCCTGGGGATGGGGTCTCACATAACCCAGAGATGGAAATAGGGTCCTATACACCCCTGGGGACAGGATCAGGGTCACACACAGACCCCTGGGGCCACGGATGGGGTCTCATGCACAACCCCGGGGGTGCGGATGTGGATGGGGTCCCATACCCAGCCCTGGTGATGGGCAGACGGGCTCCCCTGCCCCATGCTCCCCCCAGCCCCATACCTTGGTGTGCAGGATGTACCGGACAGCTCCCGGCACCGGCTCAGCCACCACGGCTGTGAGCAGCTCCTCCGGCAGCGAGGCCGAGCTCACAGGGAGCCCGCGCACAAACCTGCGGCACAGCGGAGCCGTCAGCCCCTGCCACAGCCCCACCACCCTGCGCCCCACAGTGAGCCACGGCATCGCCCTTACTGGTCCCCGTTGGTGGCGGGGGGGAAGCTGCGTCTCACCACCTCCACGAACTCGGCCACGGTGTCGGCCAGCATGAAGATGACGGCGTTAGGGCCGGCATCAAAGGTGTATGCTACCTGTGGTGAGATGAGACCCAACGTGGGGTGAGGGACCACAGCACCAGAGCACACCCAGAGCCCCATGGGGGCGGCGTGGGTACCTTGGTGCACCCGTGGTGGGCATTGAAGCGGTGCGCTAAGGCGATGATGTTCCGTGAGATGTCATTGAGGTAGAAGATGGGGGGGAAGGTGTCGAGGCAGGTGGCGTGGAACTGGTTGCTGTCCTGCATGGTGAGCTTCCCAAAGCCCTCGAAGTCCCGCTCACGGATGTGCCGCACCATCAGGGCCAGGCGCTCTGGCACCACCACCTCTGCGCGGTGCTGCCATGATTGGAGCCGTGGTCACCTCAGTTTGGTGACACCCACAGCACCCACATCACCCTGTGGGGTTCATGCAACACCCCCCATGCTCCCTCAGTGCTCCCAAGGATGGAGAAATACCATCGTAAGGGAACCAGGACCCCAAACCCTGCCTGCAGGCAGCTGTGCTGGACAGGATTGAGCTCCCTACCTTCAGCAAGCGGCTGGTGTCCACGCTGGTCTGCATCCCTGCTGTGCTGCCAACCTGCTTCTTCTCACCACTGACCTGGGGGGGGGCACAGACAATGGGATATAACACTCCCCATGAGCTCCCATCCCCAGCAACAGGCATTCCCTGATACCCCAGCCCCAGCAAGGGGCATCCCCTGATCCCCCTAACCCCAGCAAGAGGTGCCCCTGGTCCCCATCAAGGAGCATCCCCTGATTCACCCATCCCCAGCAAGAGGCACCCGTGATCACCCATCCCCAGCAAGGGGCACCCTCTGATCCCCCCAGCCCCAGAAAAAAAGACACCCCCTGATCCCCAAGCCCAAACAGGGGGCACTCCCTGATCCCCATCCCTAGCAAGGGGCACCCCCTGATACCCCCAGCCCCAGAAAGGAGCATCCCCTGATCCCCAAGCCCCAACAAGGGGCATCCCCTGATCCCCAAGCCCCAACACGGGGCATCCCCTGATCCCCCATCCCCAGCAAGGGGGCACCCCCTGATCCCCAGGGTCAGCACCCACATAGTGTTGGGGTGCTCCATCACCATCGCCAGTGGGTGATGGTTACAGCCACACACCCCGT